TTTTTTTTTTTTTCGTAACGATACATCATGCGTGGAATTACCGCATTTTTTCCTTTGCCTCTTCAAAACTGTCCGTATAGTAATAAGCATTCTGAAACGCAGTGATGATACACTCTTGTTTGCAAGTTACCTCCGGATCGAATCGGAAAGTTTTCTCAGGAACGGAGACCGCGTGTTTCAGTTCCGCGACGGAAGATAATAAACCTGCCCCATAAACGCGAAGTATGCCATCTTGCTTACATAATCCAAATTCCACGGTAAAGAAATAAAGCTGTAAAAAAGAAACGAGACGTAAATAAAAAAAAAAAAAAAATCCACTATAATTAAATATTTCTTTGCAAATTGCAAATTCGATATAAATCATACTTTACAATAATTTATAAACTCGTTTTATCATTTTAAACTTTTGACGAGATTAAGAAATTTTCCGAGCGAATGCAAAACACTTACAGTTGCTAATTTATTGATATCCTCGTCCGAAGCTCCGAGCGAAGCCAGTCCAAGTTCTTGAGAGAATTGAGCGAAACTTGGATTCGCTAGAAGCGGCATGTGACCCAACAATTCGTGACAGCAGTCTCTATAGACGATTGAAAAGAATTAAAAGAGAGAAAGAGAGAGAAAGAGAGAAAGAAAAAAATAAATTAACAAAAGATTACATAACCATGATCCATTGTCCTGTCTTATTACCATTATTTTATTTTATACGATTTTAAAATAATTATTTTTATATTTATTTTTATCTTCTATATTATTTCTACCGTTGAACGATATGATTTCCACTGATTTCTAATCGCTTACGGTTCAGGTGTGTAAAACGGATCGGACGAATGTCGAATATATTGAGTGCAATGAAATACTCGAAAAGCAAGACCAGCCAAAAAGTCTCTCGGTGATAGGTAGCCAGCCACGGGTCGAAGTTGAAATCCAGTAGTGCCTAATGGTAATTGCAAATGATAATTGTATTCTTTTTTTTTTTTTTAGGTTATCTTTAATTAATTTTCTAATCATAACCGTTTACTTACGTTTCAAAAAAACATTTACATCTTGTAACTGTGGTATATTATCCTCTCTGTCGGTCAAACATGTATACATCAACATTATATTTTATTACAATTCAATTTCGTATCGAGTGAAAATTAATTTACCTATAACCGCAATATTTCACCAATTTTGGCCAATTCTCAAGATATTCGTTGCAAGCATGTTTCTGATAAAGATGATGCAATTCACGAAAAACGGTACCCCTAAAATAAATAAACATAAAATTATTAAATAAATACAAATTATTTATACAAAAATATATTTGTATAAATAAAAATTAAAATTTTTTCTTTCATTCTGCAATATATTATTATCCCGTGGATATAGTAGACGTTTTAAACTAGATTATTTATCCATCATTCTCTTCTATACATCCAGGATAAATTGAATTATAGAAGTCACTCGAAGATCGTGAGGATAAATTAAATAAGGACAATTAAGGGGTGTATTCAACGCGAGTCAATCTTGGCTTGTTCATGCGTCTCAAGGAGAAACTTTTCCTAGTTGTATTGGATTAGGATATTGTTTCGTAATTGCAGCAAAATCTTCGGAAGATATTCGAAGAAATCGAAGAATCTTTTCCTCGTCATCGATTAGCTTCGCCTTCGTCGAAGCACGTACGAAGATTTCGCGATTTAACGAGAGAAAGTTTTTTTTTTTTCTCTCTCTCTCTCATCTCGAACTTTACTCGCGACAAAACTACTTTTTATTCTATTTTTTATTCTGAAATTATGCTTTAATAATTTAATACGAAATAAAATCGAAACGAAAGTCAGACGAACCATGTCTTGATCTCCTCCTGCGTGTACTGAACTCGAGGAATCGCTTGGCCACTGAAACAGAATCGAATGAAGCGTTTTGATACAACAAACTCCTCCTTCTTTCTTATAACATTTAGTTTTGATTAAACGTACTATCTGTAATTGTTCGCGATATCCGCAAATTGTACACGACGTTTGCGATAGATCGGGTCTTTGAAGCCCTAAAAATATTCAATCGAATAATAATCATGTTTATTAATATCTTATGTTTATCACAAAGAAGAAAATAATTCGATACTTGGAAAAAAAAAAAGAAACGTACGGGATGATCTGCGTCCAATTCGGATCCGTACATGAGCACGTTTTGAGCCTGATCTAGATCCGATATTTTTCGTGGGAACCATGGCATATCTACCTCACTGAAATCTAATCAAAGTTACGAGCGGAATAATTAATTTTCCAAATTGCTTTGAAATTACTTTAAGAAGAAAATTTCATTTAAAAAATAATTATTTCGTAAATTATTCGTCGAAAATAACGTAAGTAATTTAGGGCGATATATCCGAAGGGGAAAATGACGGACGATGACTTACCAAAACTTGGAGCCGCGGAAAGCGATGGAGCGTGAGGGATACTTCCCATTTGCTCGTATTGCGCTAAATTAATGGCGGCAACTTCTCGGCTCAACATTCTCGTCAACTGTTCCATCCTTTTCGAATCGCATTCGACATCGACGAGGATCTCGTATTCCGAACCGCGGCGCACAGATTTCCGTGACTCGATGTGAATGACATTCACTCCCAAATCCTTTGTATAAAATCGAGAATAATATCGAGAAAATATATCTTGATTAAAACTTTCAAATATTTTTTTATCAAGAAATAAAAAATTTTGTAGATACTTTTTTATATTCGTATACGAGATTCTTATAAGAGATTCGTATAAGAGATTCTCAAGAGATACTTTTTTTTTTTTTTAGAGAGAATAATATAAGATTGTATTATTTTTAGATAGAAAAATAAGTCGATAAAATTATTACGTTTCAATCGTTAAATCGTTATGCTTCGTTGAATTATGCAACATCGTTAAATATCGTACCTGAAAAACTTGCAACGCTCGTGCCAAACCGCCGATTTGATTTTTCAACGAAAAAACGACGGAATTCTTGTTATCGTTGTTCGATTTGCGCTCGACCATGGGGATCTGAACGAATGAAAGAACATATCTACGCTTTACGTTCTACTCTCGCCACGAATTTATCTATCAATTCTTTTCTCGTTATTTATTATATCTTCACATTAATACAGATTTTAGCAATTTTGTGAAAATGATGCATGTAAGAAAAAATCAATGAAGCTAATTAAAAATCATCGCGCCAATTTAAAATAATCCACTAAACGACAAATAACGAGAATATGTGCGTAAGAAACGAAAGAGAACAATTAAAAAAAAATTAAAGAAAAAGAAAAGAGAGAGAAAAAGCGTCCTACACTGCACCAATTTTGAATACAACGTACATCACTCGACTTGTGAATGGGGCTTCCTTCTTTAATAGCCCAATTGTCGCCTCTTCTGTATAACCACACCCCGAGAAGACCTTTTCCAGAACCACTCATAATTAGATGGCGGATTCGAAACAACAAAATATTACGAGCTTCAATTTATTTAATTCCTATTCTAAATAATATATTCTCTTTCTTAAGAGAAAGAAGAAACGATATTCAAAATACTCTTATTAATACTATTTTTTAAATCCTCTCTACAGATTAATTTTTCAAAGATTAATATTTCTATTGTTCCAACTGTTCAAACCGTATTATTATGATTCTAAGTGATAACACTTGACACAATTTCTCTTCACGAAATTAAGAAGAAGAGATCACAGTAGGGTAAGTTGAATGATTCGCCTCTTCAAGGACCACGAGCAACAGTGTCCCGGTACCAGTATCCTCCGCTCTTCTTAAGACCTCGGTCCCCTCCGTCTACGCGTCTTTCTCAATGACGATCTGGTCGCGATTGGTCGACGCACAGCGGTACGAAGTTTCCCTATTGGTCGGATAAGACTTTTCATGGGGTTGAAGAGGAGCGTTGTTGGCTCACCCCATTTAACGGCAACTGTGCCGGTTCCAGGATCTATTCCTGGTGACGTCACTGGAGTCCACAAAACTGTGGGTGGTTTCAAGACGATGGGAAGAAGAAATTGCAAGGTCCTCTACTACTATTTTTTTTTCTTTTTTCTTTTTTTTTTTTTTTTTTCTCTTATATCCTCCTCCTTCGTTCACCAAAGAATTCATCCTGTTCTTTGATGATCCGACGAAACGGATTCTTCCTCGGATTTCTGGGCCAAGTGAAATTAGTCTGCCGAGGAAAAGACACGAATCCAACATTTCGATTCCTTGATCAGCATTTGATTTCAATTCTAACGAAGATTGTTGCGTCATCGAGAATTATCACTGTAATATTTATTATTATTATTATTATTTTGTGTGTAATTGTATTATTATATTTAATTTTCTTTTTTACTATTATATACCTTTCCTTCCTCTTCAATTTCACAAGTGTTATAAATATGTTAATTGATAAAATGTTTATCAGGATACGAAACTATAAAATCTGAAATCAAATTTTTTAATTATTAGATTAATAGATGATTATTTACCTTTTGTTTTAAATATATGGAACGTGTATACATACATGTTGTAACGTATTGTACAAAATGTTGCGCAATGTATTATAATATATTAATATTAATATACATATATCAATAATCCAATAATTCGAAGTTGGAGGAACAATATATTGGTAAATATAAAGTATATCCTTGA